GCCATTGTTTTCTCTCCCACTGGAAGTCACTGCCAAGGCACTGCTACCCCACCCCCATGACTGATCTACATTGCGACCCTGTGTTCCCCAGGCATGGCTGCTTCACAATCCTGCCACAAGTCAAAGCTATCATCACTCTTTGTGGGATGCCCCTACCAATACATGCTTCTTGCCAACAGCCGAACTTGCCACCGCATGATCCTTCCACTACAAGATACTGCTAGCATATGTTCCCCTGCCACAAACCTATGCTGCTTCCCGCATTCCCCCACCATTAGCCAAGGCTGTCACATTCTACACTGCCACATATTTCCCCACTGCACAGTGCCATTAGGGCCAGGCGGCACTGCTTCTGCTATCCAGCATGCCACCTCTGCAGAAGGCTGCCACTGAGGTCATTGTAACATCAGACAGTCAAATTCCCTTGGATCAAGGACAAAGAAGTCAGAGAGTAGCTAGAAAAGGTAAACCAGTAAGAATACGTTTAGAATTCTCAGAAAAATAAAACAAACATACAAGCAAGAAGACAATGGAATGCTATGTATAAACTCCTAAAAAAATTTTGAAAAGCACATAAGAGTGAGATAAATATACAAACAAGTTCATACAGAACTCAAGACTTTTTTGAAAAGTGTTCAAAATAACCCAGAAAAAAATAAGAAACGAGTATTAACACACACAACTTACCAAAAAAATACAGCATAATGAGAGCAACAAGCCTATATATTAATAACTACTCTGAATGTTAATAGATTAAACACACCATTCAAGACACAAAGAATAGCAGACTGGCTAAGAACACAAGACCCACCAAAATGCTGCCTACAAGAAACACATCTTAGGCTCAGAGACAATAAAAAAAGAATAAACACCAACAGATTGGAATACTATAAGTCAAATTAATGGTGACCAAAACAATAGCAGGAGTGTAACTATATATATCCATTAAAATAGATTTAAAGGCAAAATCAATCATGAAAGACAAAGAGGGGTATTAAATAATGATTCAAAGAACAACAGAACAAGAAGATATAACTATAATAAAGATATTAACACCCTACACAAGACCCTTGAAATTCACTAACAAACACCTATTAAATAGCTAAAGCAAGAAATAGACAATGCAAAAATAGTTGGTGATTTTAATACACTACTCACAACTTTCTAATTAATGGGACTGATTATACGGTAAGGAACCCAATAAAGACAGAAGAATTTATATATATATATATATACACACACATTTATATATATGCATTTATATATATGTATATATATATTACACATATATATGTATATACCAACCAACCTCCTAGACTTATACAAAGCACTCCACCCAATAACAACACAGTATACATTATATTCTAGTGCATAGGGAACATTCTGTCAAATAGACCACAAAGCAAGCAAAAAAACATTTTAAAATATTGAGATCTTACAATCCATTTTCTCAGGGCAATGCTATAAAATTAGAAAGTAATAGGAATAGCAAGGGTAAAAAATAAAATATCTGTAATCTGAGAAACATACTGCTTAAAGACAACTAGGTTGTTGATAAAATGAAATTCCTTACAAGGATAAGAATTAGAACTCAATATACCAAACTTTTGGGAAAACATAAAACAGTAGTGTGAAGAGGACGATTTACAGCAATAAATACAACTTAAAAAGAGAGGAATACACTCAAAACCTTTACTCAGCATCTTCACAAAGCACAACAGCATGTGTGACCATGAGCTGTCGAAGGGATAAGGTATCAAGCATCCAAAAACAAAAAATCATATAATTGTAAAGGTAGGTGAGTGCAGAGTGGACTCAAAGCCCATTGGTGGGCAACTGAACACCCCCTTACTGAGGGGTTGTGGGGAGGAGATGAGCCAATCAGGGTGCAGGGTAGCAAC